TCCATCGTACCGAAGCCGGATCGGCATGGTGAAGGCTAATAGGATATTGCGGAAGTACCCCTTCAGAGAGGGGTACAACATTGGGACTCCTGGACCGAACCACACAGCTGAGAGGCCCCCGATAGGTTCCGTAGCCGTCTACGCGGAGCAGCTAGAAGCCGGGATCAGGATGCCCACCACGAGGTTTTTTCGAGATATACTTCGATATTTCGCAGTTCGGATAACTCAACTCGTCCCGAACGCGATCCGAATATTGGTGGGGTTTGAAATGCTCTGCCGAGAACAAGATGTGATCCCCACGGTCAATCTCTTCCACCGATGTTACACCATCAAGAGGCACGGATGCGAAAAGGGGTGGTTCTACTTTTGCAATAGGAATAACACCATCCCAAAACTTGTTGTCGGCGCCTCCACCTCGATAAAGAACTAGAAACGCGACTTCATGTTCGTCACGGCCGGGGACTTTCCCTGGGGCTTTTGGTGGAGGCTCGGAATACAAAAAATGATCCTTTTCCGGGGGACCTGGACGAGGAGAGCTTTCAAAAGATAATTAGGTCGGACCTCAGAATCTATAGTTGGGACTATCCCGAGGCGGTGTTAGTGGAGGGGGTATTAGTTGAGTTGTCATTAACCCCAAGAAGACACCCTTCTTCTCTACTAGACTTCAGAAGCCTTGTAAATTTTCGTTCATAGTCTGGGTCTTTGTTTCGGCTATTCTCAATAATAATGTTTGTTTCTGATGCAGTGATGAAGGTTTCTGACATTATCACTTCGGCTCGGCGGCCGTGATCAAGAGGCCGAAGAGAAAGACTTCAGGGGAAACCTCGGCACCACCACCGAAGAAGAAGGCAACCTAAGCGTCAACTGTCAAGACCTCGGCAGCAAAGAACACTTCAGCTGGGGCAGCCACCGAGTCCACCTCGTCTGTGCCAGAAGGGGTGGCCACTCAAAGAGTCACAGTCGGGCTTCCCCCTCATGGCCGAGGCAAGCAACTGAAGTCCTCGGTCATGCCGGTCACGGAGTCTTCGTTGTAAAACCGTTTCCATAGCGCACCTCGATTTTCCGGACAAGACAAGATACACCCCGGTGAACACTGGTATCCGAACTGGCAGCTCTCAATCAATGACCGGTGCACCCATCCTTGTGCGGCACAAGAGCTGGTTATGTTCTCCAACTTGCCGAGGGAAGCGGAGTTTACCGAGAAACTGGCTCTTCACGAGGTGATCCAGTGCCTCATGGTGGCAACAGCCTCTTCTACGGCATTCGTTGCCGAGATGGCACGTCAGTATAGCGATGTGCTTGAGAAGCAGGACTCTGGCAAGTTGGAGGATAAAATCTCCAAGTTGGAGAAGCAGCTTGCTGTTGCTGAGTCCGAGAAGACCCACCTCCAAGAGCAACTCGATCAGGCCGCGGCCAAGGAGGAAGAGAGTGAGGCCACAATCAATAGCCTCAGGTCGGCCTTAGAGGAAGAGCAGAAGATGGGGGAGGAAAAGAAGAAGTCCCACCAGCAGGCACTCGAGGGTACCGGGGCCTCGGCTGTGGAGGTTTTCAGGAGGTCCGAGACCTTCACCAAGGATCTCGGGGAGCTGACCCTGCCGAGATTCATGTTCGGGTATATCTCGACAATTGATGAGATCGCTTCTCATCTCTCTTCCGAAGACTTGGAGTCTTTCAAGAACAATGCCAATTATAATGAAGATTCCAAGGAGCTGTCTGATTGGATGGCCGAAGGCATCCAATCTGGGAAGGACTTGGTCGAGATCCGAGACGAGTTCAACCGGTGGCTGTCCGAGCTCGACCAGGAGCTGGAAAGGGAAGAGAGTGCCAAAGAGTAGGGCCAGGTCGGCGAAGGAGGTGAAGGCCGAGAAGAGATCGGCCCAGGAGGGACCCAGGAGGTCGCGGGGGTTGATGGGAATACCGAGGTGGGAAATGCTTAGGAGCATTTCTGACCTCGGTTATTGTACCTTTAAACTTTTGTAATCATCAATGAAATGAATAGAAGTTATTTTTTTCTCATATCGACTCTTTTTTCTTTTTCACTTCGTCCCCTACTTGTCCCTCTTATTTTTTAATAGTAAGTACATGATATGAAGATATTAAAAAATAACGAAACGGCTCAATTGATAATAACTCAATAAAATTCTCAAGGATAATACAATCTTAGATTTTCGGCGTGCCAGGTCCTTGGCACCATAGAACCATCTCGGTAGCCTAATTTACAATACCCATTTAGGTTAGATTCCACAACTCGATAGAGGCCCTCCCATTTTGGGGCTAATTTTCCTTGCAGCTCAGCTCGACTGACCGAGTTTTTTCGGAGGACCAAGTCTCCTGGTTGGAATCGGCGATGTTTCACGCGAGCATTGTAATAACGGGTCAAGGTGTTCTTGTATGAAGCAACTCGAGCCGAGGTGACGTCTTTTTTTTCTTCGACAAAGTCAAAATCCATCCGTCTTTCTTCTTCATTTGCCTCAGCCACGTAGGCTGCAATTCGGGGATTGGGCGTAAGGATCTCGGCAGAAATGACCGCTTCGGAGCCGTAAATCAAGGAGAAGGAGGTTTCTTGCGTGGACGACCTCGGTGTGGTCTGGGAAGACCACAGAACATTGGGAAGTTCTTTCACCCATGATGATCCAACTCAGTGTAGCCGAGTCTTGAGGCCGTGCAAGATAGTTCGGTTAAAATTTTTCGTTTGTCCGTTGGCTTGAGGGTGGCCTACTGAAGTGAAGTGTTGCTCGATACCGAGACCCTCGCACCAAGCTTTAAACGGATTCTCATCGAACTGTTTCCCATCTTCCGAAATGATCATCCGGGGTATGCCGAAGCGGCAAATTATGCATTTTCAGATGAATTTTTTGATCGCCAATCCCGTGATGGTTCTTAGAGGCTCGGCCTTGACCCACTTGGAGAAGTAGTCCACCGCGGTCATAATAAAAATATATCTCCAGACAGCCTTGAGGAAAGGCCCGATAATGTCTATTTTCTATTGCTCAAACGACCAGGGTGAGGTGATAGGAACCATGAGATTTGTGAGCTGGTGGTGTTCGGGGGCATGGACCTGGCAGGAAGAGCAGCGAAGGACAAGGTCTTGAGCATCTTGTCGGATAGTTGGCCAGAAATACCCGAGGAGTAAAGCCTTTCTGGCCAACATCTTGTGGCCGACGTGGGCCCCACACAGGCCTTCGTGTATTTCTTGAAGGATGTGATGTCCTTCCTCGGGTGTAGTGCATCACAGCCATAGGCCAAGATAGGATCGTTTATACAGCTCGCTATCTCGAGGGGCGTAACGAGCTGCCTTGCGCTACACTCTCCTGGCTTCGGCTCGCCTATTCTGTGACCGAGGTATTCTTTGGATTTGAAATGACTTGAAATATGCAGCGAATTGGTGAACTTTAAAAAGATACCGTTGCATGGTCTCTTTCTTGGTTTCGTATTCGCCAAGCACTTGGCATACCACGAGTTGAGAGTCACTGCAGACTTGGATTTGTCGAGAATCGAGTTTGCGGGCTAGTCGAAATCCCGCAATCAAAACCTCATACTCGGCCTCGTTATTGGTTGCAAAGAAGTCAAATCGAAGGGCGTACGAACATACCACTCCATAGGGATCTTTTAGGAGCAGCCCTGCTCCACTGCCATCACTGTTAGAAGATCCGACCATATACAGCGTCCAACTTTGAGGCCCGGATGGTGCTGAGGTGGCGTCTTGACTCAAGGAGAACGTGAGTTCGACCAGAAAATCTGCTAACGCTTAGGCCTTGATTGCCGTACGGGGTTCGTACGACAGGTCATATTCTCCTAATTCGACAACCCACTTGATAAGGCGCCCGGAAGTCTCGAGACGCACAAATATCTGCCGAATAGGTTGATCAGTTCTGACGGAGATAAGATGAGCCAAAAAGTAAGGCTTTAACCGCCTAGTGGGTTTGAACCAATCCTAGCCCCAACTTCTTCACTCGGGTGTACCGAATTTCGAGTCCGTGAAATGCGCCGCTGACATAATAGACGAGCGTTTGAGTACCCTCATCTCGAATTAGTACAGCGCTGATCGCTTCGTCCGCCGCGGACAAATAAAGGTACAGTCTCTCCTCGGGGCGAGGCAAAGCGAGGGTGGGGAGGTGATGCAGGTATTCTTTCAACTGGTCGAAGACTTGCTGGCATTCCTCGGTCCAGGTGAATTGGTCAACTTTTTTCAACACCTTAAAAAAGGGTAAAACCTTCTTAGCAGATTGAGACAAAAAGGGGTTCAAAGCGGCTAGGCGACCATTTAGTCTTTGGACTTCTCGGACATTCCGGGTGGGGACATGTCCTGGATGGCTTTTACCTTGTCTGGGTTGGCCTCGATGCTCCGGCGGGAAAAAAGATATCCCAAGAATTTTCCCGAGATGACGCCAAAGCTGCACTTTTTAGGGTTTAACATCATTCTAGAATTTCGAAGAATGTCAAAGACCCCCTTCATATCTGACAGGAAGGCCGAGGTGGTCCGGCTCTTCAGGAGGATGTCATCCACATAGGCTTCCACATTTCGGCCGATCTGATCTTTGAAGAGTCGGTTGATCAGCCTCTGGTAGGTTGCCCCGGCGTTCTTGAGTCCGAAAGGCATTGTGTATAACAATAGACACCTCGGTCAGTGTAGAACGCCGTCTTCTCCTGTTTCTCTTCACTCATTCCTATTTGGTGGTATCCTTTGAAGACGTCTAGGAAGCAGAGGATATCATGCCCCATGACTGAGTCAACGAGAGCACCTATTTTCGGCAGTGGGTAGCAGTCTTTGGGACATGTCTTGTTGAGGTCAGTGAAGTCCACGTACATTCTCCACCCACCGGCGTCCTTTTTCACCATTACGGGGTTGGACTGTCAGGTGGGATATTGGACTTTCCGGATCATCTTGGCGGACAAGAGTTTGTCAACTTCGCCTGAAACGGTTTGGCTGCGCTCTGGGCCGAAGTGCCTCCTCTTTTCTTTCACAGAACGGGCCTGTGGGTCGACGTTAAATCGGTGAATCATAAGTTCGGAGGGCACTCCGACCACCTCATCAGCGACCTTATCAAGTTGATCATTTCTTCCCTGAGGGGCGAGGGAAGACTTGTTCCCACTTGGATCACATGGTCGGGTCTCACCTCGTCAAGGACTACCTCTCCCACCTCGTCCCTGGCCTCCAGCCTGCCGAATTTTCCGGCGTCCTGAAGGTCGATGCAGCCTATGGAGAGGACGTCCGGCATCTTCCCCTCAGCCTTTGATTCAGCTTGAGGGGTGACTGCGGCCTGTATGGTGGCGAGGTAGCACTCCCTGGCCGCGCTTACATCGCTACTCACCTCGACCACTCCAACAGGTGTTGGGAACTTGAAACTCAGGTGGTAGGTGGAGTACACGGCCCTCAAAGCGTTGAGTGTGGGCCGACCGATCAACCTGTTGTAGGGGGAATCGGCTTTGACCACGGCAAAGCTTACAGGGACGGTCCGGCAGCGGGGATTGCGGCTAATGGTTACCATCAGGGAGACCATCCCTTCAGGGTGGACCACGTGTCCCCCGAATCCCACAAGAGGGGTCCTGACGGAGGTAAGCTGCTCCTTGGTTAGCTTCAGACTTTCAAAGGTTCTGTAGTACAGGACGTCTACAGAGCTGCCGGGATCGACATAGACCTTATTGACTATATAATTATTGGTGAGAACTTCAATCACGAGAGTTTCGTGATTGCTGGAGGCGGCAGGGATAGGGTCGTTGGGACCATAAGTGATCACCTCGGATAGCCTGGAGCTCGACTCGGCAGCCTCCATGCCAGCTTGACAGTAGGTCCGTTTCCGGGAATTCTGACTGTCTCCTCCTGTCGGATCACCCCCAATTGTGTTGATGATCCCAACGATGTTAGGGTCGTAGCTCGGGGACCTGTCTCGGGGAGACCTTTGGTCCTCCCTATGGTCCTCAGGCCCACGGCAATAACTCTTCGTGTCCCGTCTGTCTTCTCGGCGATGGCCTCCATTATCTCGGTGGGAAGCGCTTCGATTGAAACCTACATTCTTGCGGACGAACTGCTTCAAGTATCCCTGCCTGATCAAGTTTTTGATTTCTTTCTTCAAATCATTACAATTCTCGGTCTCGTGCCCAACATCCCAGTGGTAGGCACAGTAGAGGTTGGGGTTCCTCTTCTCCCTCCTTCCCAGAATCTCGGGAGGGTCTCGATCGAGATGGTTTTGTCTCATTACCGCCAGAATGTGAGATTGGCTGGAGTTGAGAGGTGTTATCTCGACATCCGAGGTGGACGACCTCCCTTTCGCAATTCTTTCAAAAACGCTCCGACAATCTCGGAATGGGTTCAACGAGCCGCTGGGGCCCTGTTCGACTCTGCTGATTTCTTTCTTCCTTCGGGACTCTTGTCCAGTGCGGGCTGCTTGGGCTTCCCGTTTCATGCGATTCAGGTCCTCACTTCGGATATCTCGATCCACCCTTTCCCAGAGTTCCCGAAGTGTCCGCGGGTAGTCCCAATGAATTTCGATGTGGAACGTTCCCACGATCAACCCATTGGTGAAGGCAGCTATGGTCACCTGCTCGTTTTGGTCAGGTATCTGCACGTTTTCTTCGTTGAACCTCTGCACATATAAACGCAGAGACTCCCCGGGAGCCTGTTGTATGTTCAGTAGGTAGGCCGAGGTTTTCGTAACTGGGCGAGACGATACGAAGCGGTGGATGAACCTATCAACCAGCTCGTCCAGCGAGAAAATGCTCCCAGGTTCCAAGCACCAGAACCATTTTCGGGCAGTACCCTGCAGGAAGATAAGGAAGGCTCGGCAGATCACGGCGTCGAGGACGCAGTACAGCCGAAATGTCGAGATGAAGGCGCGGAGGTGATTCTCGGGATCACCTCGATCATCGTAGGACTCCAACACTGGGAGTTTGAAGTTGGGGGGAACCATTTCCCCATTAATATCATCGGTAAAAGGCGGAGCTCTCATGTAGTCGGCTGCCAGCCCCTTGGGCTTCCGAGGGGCGTTCTCAGCTCGCCTTCCCAGCAAGCCCCGGGAAAACGCCTTGGAAATGGACGCGATTCTAGAGGTGGCTTTGGAGGAAATGTGTTTCGAGGTGCTCCGGACGGGATGCCCGTCATCAGAGTCTTCTCCGGAGGTCATCTCAGGGGACTTGGCTGATCTCCTTTTGAAAGATTCAGCTTTTTCCTTCCCCTGCCGTTTGAAGTACCTCCCAAGTTCCTAAAAAATATTGGAATTTTCTGCCACAAACTCGGCCATCCGGGCGATGGCGTCTTCGTTTGTGGGCGGGGCCCTGGGGACTCTTGCTCTTCAGATACACGGTCTTGCTGAGCAGTGGAGCTGGGCTCAGGTCCAGTAAAGGGAACTCTTCTACTCCTAGATCGCGTAGGTCTCATCTTAAGAGTATTACGTTCTCACAGACGGCGCCAATTGAAGAGGTGATTTCTGGTTAGATAGCCGAGCTGATCTAATCCAGCTCCCTCTCTTGTTGAAGTGAAATTTAGAGACAGGAGGGCTATTCCGAAGTGAAAGGCGGGGCTTTGTCCCCTGGAATCACTCCGACGGTCAAGTTAGTATAGAGAGAGAATAAAGAGTAATGAACAGTATGAGCGCAACAGTAGTCTTACTTGTGAGGAGTGAACATAAGGTATATATAGAGTGGGAGTGGGCAGGACAGGACGATGGGTTCATGCTAGCGGGTCCCACGTCTTGACGGTTACGGCTCTGTTCTGTACCTGGAGGTCTGTCCCTGACACAATAGCAGTCTGGACCTCCTGACAGGCTGTGCTGTGCGGCCGCCATTAAGAGCAGCAGTAGCTTTTCAGATAAAGCAATGGATTTTAGTGGGTTATCAAATAGGTTGACATCATCCGTATGCAGTCGAGACGAATGCCTAAAACATTAAGGTCGTCCGGGATGTAAACCTGAAATGAGGCCGAGGTCGGGGGCGGGAGTCACGGCCAAAGGACATCTCCTTGGTCCGTGTGACGGACGAGATGATATAACCTCGGGCTTGAAGCTATCCGAGGTGACCATCCTCAATTTACAACCAATGTTTTAAAAATCGGACCGTTAATTGAACCGGTGAAGTGAAAGGGTCGAGATTCAACCGGTCGGACCGGTTCAACCCCGGTTCAATGAATTTTTTTAAAAATAATTTATATAAATATATATATATATGCACAAAATAAAACATGTAATGGACTAATTTAATACTTTATATGATGAAAAGTTTACTATTTTTTAATAACTTGGATTTTTAAAAATAAATTTTTTAATTATAAGTTAAAACAATAAATTTCATCTCAATTTCAATTATATCTAAATCCAACCCAAAAATATCACAATATTTTCGAATTATACAAAATTCGTGTCTATGAGAATTTAGACATTGTGAACTTAAATTTTAATGTACGTTTTGGGATTTAGAGATTGTAGTTTAAAAAAGGAAATTTGAAGTTCGAAGGAAGTCAAGAGAATCGAAAATAGAAATGTAAACTTGATAAGAAACAAAAAATGAGATAAAAGTGAGTGGTTGTGGCATTTAATAATTTGGGTTAAAGAAAAATAATTCTTTTTTAACTTTTTTCAATTTAATGGACAAAAACAAAATTAAAAGATAGAAGAAAACATCAATAAATTAAAAATAAAGAGGTTTGATAAAAAGGGAGTGATAAAAGAAAAGAGGATAAAGAGAGACAAAGAGAGAGTTGAAGATTAAAAAGAAAGAGCCATGAGAGGATGAGATTTTGTAAGAAAAATGAAAAAAAAAGAAATATGAGTGTTTGTTTTATATAAATAAATTATCAAAAAAAACTAATAAGATGTGATGGTGCAATGGTTGATACATTGGTCTTCTATTACAAAGGTTTTAAGTTCGAATCTTGATAGCTGCATTTTGCAAAAAAAATTTTAAAAAAAAGGTAAAGTTGAAAACCGAAAAATCGCCGGTTCAATCCGATTCGACAGTTTTCACTGTTCAACTGAGTTTTGACCGATTTTCTGACAAAGTCAACAATGGCATAGAACCGGACCGATGCCATGGCCGGTCCGCGGTTCAACCGGCCGGTCCGGTCCGGTTTTCAAAACATTGTTTACAACTGATACGATGCGCGTACAAATTTTATGAAGAATTAATTAGTTGCTTGTACTGCGTACGCTACTACATGTGTATTGTATATTCTAGAGTTCAATTATATGAATCACAATATAATAATTGGTCCACTATACTATTAGGGATTGTATTCTTAACACTTCTTATTACCTTTATGAGTTGATTGATATGCATTGCCTGCGCCTTTTAATTTTATCCTCTTTGACTTTTCATTCGATTTCTTTTTTCAGTTTAGAAAATTATTAGATTTTTTTTTCAATTAACTTGTGTTTAATTAAGTCTTACAAAAATGTACAAGATGCAGGGGACGTAAAACTGTGCCTCCTAATTACAAGTTTCAATCTTAACTAATTAGAAATTAAGGCAAAACACATAATAGGTTTGTATGTGATTTAGAAAAAACGGTTTGAATCTTTTTTTAGCATACCAAACTTCTCTTCCCTTCACTTGTTTATCTCATTAAAGCATTTCTTTATCTCGCTTTCTTTCCCAAACTTACAACACTGCACTTAAATTTCCACTCCCAAATTGAGGACATTTACTTGTTATGTGTGGATCTTTTTGGTTCGATACAAAGTGAACGAGATGAAATTTGGAATAAAATCATCATCAATCTAGATTAAAGAGCGTGAAAAGATGAAATTATAATTTGCCTAAAATTAAAGAGCATGAAATTGTCATCTTTCCACCCTGATAACTTATTTTTACCAACCTAGATCCATTTTTTATTTCCATTATACCCATATTAATTAATTGAAATTCATTGTATCTAAAATCATGCCTTTATTCCATTTTTTGACTTTATATTCAGGTTTTCTTCTTTTGGTCTAAGAAATAGCTACCTATATTAATCTTAATTAGATAACATGAACAAAAAAAACATAGTATTAGGTATGCAAATGATTGACAAACATGACTTGAATTTTTGTTTATCACGACCACTTCCTTCTTTTTTTCTTTTTTTTTTTTTTGCTTTGATATATCCATAATCTCCTTTTGTGTTACCAAATTTTTAGAGACATTTTTACAACTCTAACAAGAATTGCAAGGCTAAAGTTCAGCTTTTTAAATTAAATGACAAAAATAATTTAATATATAGAGAAATAAATTTTGTTTCTACATAGTGTAAAATTAAAATAAGTTATATTTTTACATAGTGTAAAATTAATTAAGTGATTGTTGAGTATTCAACTTTGTTAAATCCTATTTTTGTTTCCTAAATCGATCAATTTTAAGATGATCAAGATGCCACATGGTTCGGTATTTGGCATTAGTTTGAACTTTGAATTATATCTCAGTTTTGACGAGAATGCAAAATCTCCAAATAAATGACTCCGCTTTGTGAATTACATCATCTATTTATACTTAGTATGTAGCTTCAATATATGATACTTAACCTAAATGACTATTAAAAGCTACAATTCATTATTTGTTTCTAAGAGATTAATGTTTTTTATGTGTCAATATGCATCTTTGTTTAAACTTTTTATATTTACAGAATAATGATGTATAATGCACTTTGATAGGAATGAAATTAATGAAAATCAAGATTTATTAAAAACTGAAAAATATGTTTTATACATGCATAGCACGTGCATTTTTGCCACTATATCACAATGTTTTAGGACTTCGTCAATGTCCCAAGACAACCAGACGAAGAAATTATTTTAGGTTGATATTACATGAAATTCTGAAATATTATGCATAGAATTAAAGACAACACTATCCACAAAAAGAAGAAGTCATGGAGTTTCCGAAAACATTGTCCAAGTCACTGAGGGAAGGGATCTAGTCACTCAAGAAGATCCTTAATTGGAGCCACCAAATTCTGGTTCTTGCATTCTTTGCTCCTTGGTCAAATCTACCACTCTCCATCTCTTGCATGTTGAAGTTTTGAATTGTCCTCCTGTGACCAACTACTTATAGCCACATGCTCTTCCGAATCGATCAAACGAGAGATAGAAGAAATAGGACAGCAGAAACTTCTTGTCTTGCATAGGCTGCGAAGATGAACTCAAACAACGTACTATTATTATGTTTCTGTTATCTCTCGCTAGCTACATTCATTAATGGAGCCAATGACAATGAAAGAAAGGTACATCTTACTTGTTTGGGCTTTTCATGTGCCACATAGAGCTGGCTGCAACAACATTATGCCTTCATTTTCACCAAAAAAAAAAAAAAAAAGAAAAGGAATCCCTCACAAAATAAATGAATAAATAAAATGTAGCTCTGTTTCATATGAAAGTGATTTTAAACTTCACCACCCAATGATGCTCTAAGATGAAATAAAAGGTTCATTCTTCCGTTTCTGAAATTTGTGACAACTTTTAGTAGTATCTCATCCTCATGTGATTGGAGACTGCTAATATAACTGCTGCCTATAGATCCTGTAGGCTAACGTACGTAGTAGTCCTTTTCTTTTATCTTGTTGAACGTAACGATTTTCTTGATCCACAGACATACATCGTGTACATGGGAGAACTGCCGGAGGAGGGGATATCTACAGTGGATGAACACCACAATCTTCTGCAAGAAACAATTGGAAAGTAATCACCCTAACATTAATTACACAGCGTTTTCATCTCTTGCATGTTTAAGGTCAACACAATTTGTCATCTTTAATTGTAGAAGGATTTATTTAGTTAGCTAGGGTATGAAATGGGATGGAAAACAAACTGTCCTCTAATCTTTTTGATTTGTTCGTTCAACTCTCAGTGAAAGGATAGCTAGAGAATCAAAGATACACAGCTACGGACGAAGCTTTAACGGGTTTGTGGCAAGACTGTTGCCTCATGAAGCTAAGAGCTTATCGCGTAAGTTTATGCATGGAATCAGCTGCTTCCGGTCATCAATTTCAGTACTAATAATTTATGTTTTCTTCAAGTTAATCGCTGATGTGATGCAAAATGTTGATTCTGCAACATTAATGCAGAGAAAAAGGGCGTCGTTTCAGTGTTTCCTAACACTGTACAAAAGCTTCGAACCACAAGATCGTGGGATTTCATTGGAATGCCGGAGACGGTTGAAAGAAACCATCAAGTAGAGAGCGATACCATAGTTGCTGTCCTGGATACAGGTTAGGAAATGTAGATAATTAATTGGTTAGTAATTCTGACGTTTTTGTCCATAAATTAAAGTTTTCAATAAATTAATATGTACTTTCATGATTGCAGGAATATGGATTAAGTCACCAAGTTTCAACGATGAAGGCTACGGTCCTCCACCTCCAAAATGGAAGGGCAAATGCGCCAAGGGTGCTAACTTCACTGGATGTAACAGGTAACTCTTTCCCCTCTCCAGAAAAGGAAAAGAAAAAAGGAAAAAAAAATGCAATGAACTGTATGACCATATATGTCTTACTAGTACTTTGAGATCGTTATGCACGGAGTACTTCATTCTCCTTGGCACGCATACGCGGTCCAAAACAATTTTTTTGCATGACATGACACTCGAAATATGAAACTATGTTTTGTACATATCTTTTAATTGTATTTATAACATTTTTTAACCATTTGAAACTTTGTCTTCTCTCTCCAACCTCAAGCTTTCTGTTCGTCATCTTTGTTTGTTTTAGATTTTGCAAATTTCATATTACTGGAACATTTTTAGTAAAGAAAGGTATTAAATTCTGGACTTAATATGGAGATTAATGGTTTACTTTCTCATTAATTAATCTTCAACATAGAGAAGTCAGTGAAAAGGGGGGAAAAAACAATATTGCTACTAAGAATTCCCAATTAATTTGACTAAGATGCCAGTTGAACTGGTGAAAGAACTAAAACAGCAAAATAATTTTTCTAGATGTTGTAACAAATCAAATTTATTCTTGTACTCAAATTTCCCCAAGTTGCACATCTCGGCACATACGTATGATCGTGCATATAAACGGAAAATCAAGATTTTTTTTTTGGTGTTGAAAGCTAGGATTAAGCAAAATTTGTACTAATTAGTATCGCGATGATCATTTTCTTCCCATGCACAGAAAGGTGATTGGCGCACAATACTTCAATCTGGGAGGAGGTGCTTCGGACGGGCCAATTAGTCCAGTGGATCTTGTAGGACATGGCACCCATACATCCTCGACTGCTGCTGGCGTACCCGTTCGAGATGCGAGCTTGTTCGGCCTGGCCAAAGGGACTGCACGAGGAGGAGTGCCTTCGGCCCGTATTGCCATGTACAAAGTCTGCTGGGGCGTGGGATGCGACGACATGGACCTCTTAGCAGGGTTCGATGCTGCAATTGCTGACGGCGTGGACATCATATCAGTGTCCATCGGAGGACCTTCAAGAAGGTTCTTCGAGGATCCAATGGCAATTGGATCCTTCCATGCTCTGAAGAGAGGAATCTTGACTTCTTGTTCTGCAGGAAATTCCGGGCCTGATTTGCAATCCGTTGAGAATGTCGCCCCATGGATCATGACTGTAGCTGCTAGTAGCATAGATCGACAATTTGTATCGACCGTCAAGTTGGGTGAAGGAAACACAATATCTGTAAGACTTTAAATTTGCCTTCTTTTTGGTCATAAAAACATACTTTTTGATGTACTGTATCAGAAGGTCTTCGGCTTGGTTTTTTGGCAGGGAGTTTCTATTAACACTTTCACACCCAAGAAACAAATGTATCCTTTAACAAACGGCGATCGTGCAGCAAATAGTAGCACGGCGAATTATGGAAATGTCAGGTAATTAATGTTATGGGTCTGAAAATATCTGTTTGAATTGTGCTGTGTGGATTGCAACATGCCCAGATAGTATTGGTCACGTTTATTTGCACATGCTCTGTTGCAGTGCTTGTGATTATGGCACTCTAAGCGCGAGTAAAGTGAGAGGCAACATAGTATTCTGCCGTGGACGAGGCCAAGACTCCACCATTCAAGAATTGGGAGGAGTCGGAGTAATCATGTCAGCGGATCAGTACACAGACATGGCTTTTGCTTACTTGATACCTGCAACCACTGTAAATTTTACCGACGGCGAACTGATTGATCACTACATCAATTCGACCAAGTACGTTTATTACGCATTTTTCAATTGATTATCCAACTATATATGTAGATTGGTGAACCAGGCGTGGTATACAATAGCATGTCAAGAAGTGTTAATTAACATGCAATTTGACAATTCAGGGCCCCCAAAGCTGTTATAGACAAGGCAGTAACAGTTAATATGACGGCACCATTCATTGCATCCTTTTCATCCAGAGGGCCACAAGTGATTGCGCTCAACATTCTCAAGGTAAAATGATCCTTAATTTTTATCCTCGTTCGCTCTCCTTTTGTCTCTGTCTGATGAATTTTCGATGAACAGCCTGATGTTGCTGCACCAGGACTCGACATACTAGCTGCTTATTCCCAATTGGTTTCCCTGACTGGTGATACCAGCGACAAACGGATTGTAGAATATAATATCTTGTCAGGAACATCAATGGCATGTCCTCATGCTGCTGCAGCCGCCGCCTATGTGAAGACGTTTCATCCCAAATGGTCTCCTGCTGCTATCAAGTCTGCTCTGATGACTACCGGTAAGAAATGAGTCGGATGTTGTAAAAAAAAAAAATGGGCCATCATCTAGGTTAAATTATTAATATTGCCTAAAGCTCTAGCCTCGTGCAACTTATATCGACCATATTGGATTTATTACTCCTAATCAAGTCGTTTCTTCAGCTTGCTAATTGCGTGTTCGTGCCTGTGTTCCGTATTGTACTCAGCAAAATCAATGAAGATCAAGCCAATAGGTCTCGCATTAGCCTCCGGTGCAGGCCAAATCAACCCGAGAAAGGCATTGGATCCCGGGCTAGTCTATGACCTCGATGTCAACTCTTACGTAAGCTTTCTTTGTAAAGAGGGATACAACGACTCAGCCATTACAGCAATTACTGGTGACAGGACAAGCAACTGCTCAAGCTTCCCACCTGCCAAAGGAACTGATGGCCTGAACTACCCTTCCATGCACTTGCAACTGGTGGATCCTACGTCGAACAATACCAACATTTCTGCAATTTTCTACCGCACGGTGACGTATGTTGGGGAAGGTAAAACAGTATACAGAGCAAAGGTTAAGTCGCCTAAGGTTCTGTCTGTCACAGTTGTTCCAAAGGTCCTGTCTTTCACCAAGCAACACCAGAAAAGGTCTTTCAAAGTGATGGTGAAGGGGAATTTTGTTCGGCGAAAGTCATGGTTAATGTCAGCATCACTTGTGTGGAGTAACTGTAGGCACAATGTCAAGAGTCCTATCTTAATATACCGGCCACCAGTTTAGGGAATTTCAGTTGGTATTTAATTTGATTATGGATTAAACGTCCGTGTTGAAGAAAAAGGGTTAAAAAAAAGAAAGAAATGACTGCTCCTTATGAATATTCTTTTTGCTGTACTTAACCAAATTTCGAGAAGATGAAGTTGGTGCCTCCGAATTCCTTTTTCGATTAATACATTTCAAGCTGCATGAGAACCATCCCATCACGATAAGTTCCTCTAATGTTACCCCGCTCTCCGCCCCATTTTTTAACAGAGAAAAATGCCCCCGCCCCGCCCCTTCCCCGTCCCATCACCTCTCCACGGGGCGGGTGCCCAACCCTAATTATCAGCTATAAAAAATCGCATTGCACCTTATGTATTCGCAGTAATAGTATACGTAGCAAACAATACATTAATTAAGTAAGGAATAAATTTTATTTACATTATCAATGTATATAGTATCACGATTAGATTAGATATATGACGTATCAGTAAATTTTATATTCAAATTTTGCACGTGTCATATATCGAATGTAATAGTGATATTATTTACATTAATAGTGTATATAACATTAATTCTTAAATAAAATTTCATGTTACTGTTAGCTAGTAGCGGTCTAGCATTACAAATCAATAAATGTAATAGACTAGTAGTAGTGAACAAAAGCATTTAATCCAAACAGAGTAGTATCCAAGTGAACCACACTAAATATAAAAGTAGAACTTGAGAAAGATAAGGAGGTAAATCACAGGTAGAGGGCGGCTGTGATGGTATTTAAGGTGGGAATGAAGAAGACCCATAGTTGATCACTGGCGGGGATTCCGGTTTGTTGGCGAGCTAAAGCCGCCGAAGCTTCTCCTCCGAACATGATCATTTTCTCCTCCGAATCCTGTTACGACCACAAATGATCACCATGGGCATTTCTTTAATAAGGAATATTTCCTCCTTCGTCGTCAAGAGGTGTTCCCCATTTTCATCTCTTCTGGTAGGGAGTTTTTGGTCTCTTTCTGCCTTTTGTATCAAATCCCCAATAGTCGTTTTACACGCCGCCTCCTCGCAGCACTTTCCAAGTCCCAGGCGCCGATTTGTGCTGCCGCCACGCGTTACCCATTGCCCACGTTAGCTGTTTCATGTGTGGAGTCTGTGGACTGGAGGGTGTTGGCACGGGCCCCAACCAGCCATTGCTGATTAGGTCCTCCTCTTTTTTTTCTTTTTTTTTTTTGGGGAGCTTTGGGGCGGGGGTGAGTATTCAGTGTCTCGACCCTTATGGGATTTGCTTATGAGGCACCTACGTGGCTTCTTTTATTTGCTGACACGTTTTCCACAAAAACTGTGGAAAAACAAAAAAAAAGTACAATGCTAGAACATATGAGAATAAGCAGTACGACGGCGTTCCGGTTGTAGAACATTTTTTCGTCATTTTACAGGGGAACGATAGCACAGGTAATATGACAACGGCATCCTGCTGGTACAAGCAATCTAGATAAACTCAGATGCCGGACAACTTCAAATCACCGTTAGTGAGTTCTTGCGAAGGCAATCTAATCGGCGAAGGAAGAGTACCCCAAATGGGTGTAGCAGATGTAGACGACAGTCTTGGTGAGAGATTAGTGAACTCTAAGGCCTGTATCCTCAGCTCTATAGGGTAGTCAGCAATACAACCAATTCTAGGCCCAGCACCGGTCGACCATTTCAGAGAGAGTTGTTTCCCCAGTTGGTAAGACCTTGCAGCCTTCTTTGAGTTGATCCTTTGCAATATTGACGTCTTGGGCACCTCTGCTTTTGGGCTCTGAAGCCCACCAGAGAGAGTCCTCCGATAGTTGACGTTAATTTCAAGTTTTGGAGCTTCAATTGTTTCCACGGCCCCTTCATCTGGAGCATTAGTTTCGCAGGAATCGGAAACTGTTGCAACTTCAGAAGTTGATTCATCTTTTGTCGTTTTCGCTTCTCCAAAATTCTCATAATCTTCATTTGCTTTACTCATCTAAACACACAATTTTCAAAGCAAAACATTGTAAGTTCTATATGGAGATCATAACCAAAGAAAGCTCCAAATGCGCATGACGAATCTAAGGTAGAGCTACTGGATTGGTGGAACATCTAACATGGCAGAGTCAAGTAAAGAATCGATATCTTGAATTCTCTCACATCTGTCTAGCCTGTCGAATACTTGGTGCAAATTCCTTTTGGAGTAGATTGAACAAATTATTCTGACAAGAAGAACTTAGCAAAACAAGCAAAGCAAATGAGATACCTCAACTTCATCCAGATTGACTCCGTGTGCCTTCAGAAATTCTAAGAAAGTATCAAAGCTATCATCAGTGGGTCGATAGTGTCCACTGTATGGCGATATAGACTGCAAAAATGAACAATTGTAATCAAGTCAGATCAGATGCTATGTGAAAAAAGTATCAGACAACTTATAGTAAGACACCACAACCGGTTACTGTGGGTTTGACTGAAAGAACAAGTCAATATCAAGCTGGACGAAAGTCAAACCACTCCTCTAATACGAGACAATAAATCCATATCACGCAACCTAGAAATAAAATTTTCTGAACAATACGCTGGCAACTCATTGTCTGTTTTCTTGAAGAAAGGTAAATGCATCAATTTATCCCACACTCTTGTAGGTATGCCAGTTTATAGTTTCAAGGTAAGAATACTTCAAATCATATCATTTATGAATAATTACCTTAAATGCCTGTTAATGTCCACTAACGGAACTACCAGACCCCAACATAAAATTTCAGGTTGAAGTATGAAAAATACTGTACCTGAAGTGTTCCATCAATTACCACCAGCCTCCCAGCAGCCAAAGTAACGCCTCCCGCAAGAAAGCTGGAATGATGGAAGGTTCCTTTCTTTTTCTGCAGCATTAACAGTACAAGATTAAACAGACTGACATGGAAGTTTGAGAGCACATCATCAAAGGAATTAGTAGTTTTGATTTTAAGGCTTAATTCTCACCTCACCAGCGTAGAGTCTCTTAGAGGTGCTCATCACAAAGATCCATTTTGCTCCTGGTGAACCTTCTGTTGTGTCAAGAGGTTTCCCAGATTGTTCATGCAAAATTTTCCCCTCAATGACCAAATATTCATAATGTTCTCTTTCTTTCTGATAGTAACAACATTTTTTAAAAAAAAATCCAGTTTAAGAAACTGTTGAAAATATTTGAACAATTTGGAGAAAGAACATCAAAAAATACTACTCCTATATTGCAAGTGTTCAAGTTGCAAGATATCAGTTCAAAAGTATCCCACTTTTGATTACAACATGCAAATATAGTTTGGAACTAATGACATACTAAAAAAACAGATTGAACATAAACATTTTTTTTCAACCACTTACTGGTCCAAGATACTTAATATGCTGTTTACGAAGCTTGGAGCGTGGGCATGCTGTGAGATCGACCTCTTTGCCATCTCCAAGATCCAACCTGCACAAGGGAAATGGATATCCAAAGCTTTCAACACTCAGTTTTGTTTTTATTGGAACACATATCAGAAATTTGAGGAATTAAAACAGTAGCACAACAGTGCATAATTTAGATTTGCATTTGCAGTGGAACTTCTGACTTTTAACATTATCATCACTCTTCACTAGTACCACAAATTTTGATAAGTGTACAATGGACCTATGAAACTTGCAGACTACAAAATCTTGTCGATGTTGTTATTGGTATAAACCGAGAATTTTATCTCAACAGTCATGTTGGGAGACTCTTGTAACTCTTATCCACGCATGGCAAACAGTTTATTCCTCTCTTACAGTTCTAAGCAAGAATATGAAGAGGGAACCAGGCAAGTTTCATGACACATATTGAACTATTCTTGCCACGCCCTCGGGGCGCTGAGGTTCTTTTTCCAACAGTTGCATGTTGCTTGGCTAATCACACACTAAATATCCAAATGACATAGCGACAAATTATAGCCATCATGTATGACCAAATACATACTGAATAAATGGTGAAAATCAGAAAAAAAATTAAAAGCCTAATCCCAGTTCTCTTACCAAAAAAAGAAGGGTTGACCAGCATCACCTTTACACCACTCTTCGTAATATAGATGCAAACTATGCCCATATCGGTGCCGGGGGTCAATCTAGATGTCAAATTACACGGAATCAATATTAAAGCATAACCATTGGCTCAAACACATTTTACGTCTAAATTAGACTTGGTAAATCAGACTCACACGGTCACAGCCCGCAAGCAGAGGTCACAGCTTAAAGGTGGGATTATTTTAGAGAACACAGTTGTAAAGGGAAGGAAGGAACAGTAACTTACAGCCTCAATCCAGTGTTGAAAAGCTAATTTCTGTGCCTTGGCGTCCTTAGACAAGCCTTTACCCACCTAACCACAAATGTTAAAACTCCAATTATAGCCGACTTTTCGAACTAATGATCACCATTTATATGTAATTAGCTCCTACTATTACACGGATATTTGTAATCCTCAAAGTATATACAGTGGTAATTATTAATTAATTCTCAGACCACTTTCTAGTAAACAATTATTATTACCAGTTACCACTTTTACCTTGGAAGCATTTAAGCTGACCCGATTCCACCGCGACGCAGCCGACTCCGGTTTCGAAAAATTGAAGAAAGATACCGTGCTGTGGTTCAATCGAGCAAAATCTAACGCCTGCCACCTACAAATTCAAACGCAGATAACGCATTCTATTACTTTGGAAGCAAAAAATATATATATATATATACTGAGAAACAGATGGGACCATAAATAAGTGCGGAATCGCAGTTTTCCAGCAAATATATTTTACTACTTCATAAATGAAATGAAAAAAAAAAATCACTGTGATAATCTACCAGAGCTCTTCGGCAACCACGGCGCAGTCAGCTAACATGCGTCGGGTACGATAGCTCCTGTAAACCTTCTGCAGCTTCATCGCCGCACGCGAAGGACATCTTCCCATCTTCTCCGGGAGAGGCTCCTCTCCGGCCAATGCATTGGCCACCGGAGAAGCGGAGTCTAGAGTTGAAAAAACGGGAGCCATAAGGTCAC